GATATGTAACCGCCGGTCGTGTGTGCTGTCGGATCCGTCACCTATAAATAGAGGGCTTCATTTCACGCTCAGGTATCGAATCTCACCTCGAACTAAATAAGGAGTCTGATCTATACTGACTTGAGCGTCGGAGTGCTTACCCTCTTGTGCAGGTCCACTCTAGTGTTCAGGTCGGAACCAGAGACTGGGTTCGAGCTCGATTCGTGTAGAACCGTTGTGCAAATTCCTGCATAAACAGTCTTCAATTAATTACCTTAAATAAAATCAAATGGAAAAAATGAAGAAAATAATAATAATAATAAATATGGAGGGAGAAAACTAATGAAAGGTAATTTAGTAAGAAACTAATTAAAAGAAAATCATTCAAAACTAGAAAATCTAAATTAAAAAATATTTGACATAGACCTTTGTGAAATATATAGCTGCGAACCGGCTGTTAGCCACCATTTCTACATAAAATACGCTTTATGCTCTTTTTTATGCTCTTTGTTTTAGTAATTTCCACTCTATGCTTCTTTACTTTTTTTTTTCTCAAAAAATAAAAAAAATACACCTTATCGAGCATAACTCAACAGTAATTGATATGTACTCTTTCCCTCGAAATTGGAGGTTCGATCTCTTCATATCCTAAAATTGTTGTACTAACAAAAACAAACAAATCGTCGTATCAAATAAGTTTGATTAACCAATGCTTTGATCCAATTGCTGCTATCTTTCCCTTGATATTTATTTCTACCCCCTTTGTGGCATAGTTTAGCTAATGCCGTTTTTATAAAAGATTTCATATCAATATTGATACGCGGATTTGTAGTATTGAGACGCTGCAACCATCTGAGTCGTGCACGCTTCATATTCTAGTATTGAGATGTTATTGTATTGTAACCATCTAAGCTCTCCAATAGTGTCTTTATGCTGCATGCTTGGATTGTATGCTTAATTTGAGTCTACAAGTGTTTCAATTCTCTGGTTAGAAGCCAAAAACATAGAATTCTTCCCAACCTTTCTCTATTTCTTTTTAAGTCTTTTCCACGATAATATGATATCGTCTATTTTGGACATAAATTCTCGTGACTTTGCTTTTGATTTCATTTAGAAGACTTCGTACTAATAAAGATTTTGTCTCTTTGCTTATATACTCATTATCGTCCCACTCATCTAATCAATGTCTTTATTAAGGTAGTCCATTGATGAGTTATTTTCAATTTTTATTAGCATAACTAATCGTAACAAGGAAACATATTTTTGTTAAAGTTTGCTGAAATCTTTCTTTCTGTTTCTCTGTCTAACTGATTTATTACACTTCACTACTAAAACCTCTTTGATATAAAGAGAGTTAGTAGTCTTGACCAATTAATGAGGAAGAAGAGGTGTTTGTGATCATTCTTGATTCTGTTCATAGTTCACTGTCAAATTAGTTTGGTTTTGGTTGCACTCCCAACAATGTTCTTCTTAAACAAAGTACTATTGAATCTCTTTTCAAATAGTCATTTATCCGTCTAACTCTTATCTAGACGAACTCCAACTACTCTTCTCTAAAGAACACTGGCTGTCCATAGTAAAATGCTCGCTTGTTATATGGAATTCGACGTATCCAACAGACGAAGCAGCATTCCATTCTTTTAGACGGCATCCTTCTATATTATTGGTGCTGAGTGAAGTAGTGTCACAATCCCCCATTCATCATTTGGATTCCTAAAAGGAGTGACCCTCTTTGTTTTATTCACTTCCCCGTCTTGAAAAAGTTCGTAGGGTTGTGAAACATAAACTGAAACATTATGGAGCTACAAAGATAGTTATTAAATTATTAGTACTGCAGTTAGAGCTCAACCACACAAATCACACCGTAACTACCATCTTTCAAGACTCACCACTTCTTTGTTTGGTACTCGAAGATTGTTCCGGCATGGCAAAGTTAGGGGTATGACTCCAACACCACTTGTTAGGGGCAACATGTCCCTCTACATTTCCACGATAATATGATATACTACAAAGATAGTTGTGTCCACTTCAGGAATAAGCTCTTAAATGACTTTATTTTTTGTTTCACTCAAAACACCTTGTATCAATTGAGATGTTGTCTCTCCCTCATATACCCATAATCTTTTCCTTATCTAATCAATCCGAGACTTGGGTTGCACTTTTGATAAATCACATGCACAATCTTAGTTTTATTGCACAAAAAACGAACAATATTTAAGCTATAATATAATGCGTAAAAGTAGCCCACAATTGCTTTGTTTTCTAGCATTTGCTTATGATCTACTTTTGTTGCTATTTATGTTATATTCATATCATTTTCCACATAAACACATCATCAAATATACCTATTTAACTTTCTCCATACTTTTAAGAGAATGTGTAATGAAACATAAAAGCGATTTCAAATGCTTTTTACTAAAGTGATTATAATTAAAATACTTTATGCTAAACATATATTTGAAAAGCAATTGAACAATTCAATGAATGAAGTAGCTGGAGCCATTAAATCTACTAGCATGAAAGTACAAAGAATAGGACAATAATAGTGAATTATATGAGGACAATGACAAATCGAACCTCCATCTTGGTAATTCAATATAAATTATTTGCTTATAACTCTCAAGTGTGCTTCCATGCGCATTTCACATGACCACTATTCCATCAATGTTCTTTTTGTGTAATTCAGTTCACTTTTGTTAGTCGTTCCAACTCCAATTAGTGTGGCCTCGGGTTTTCGTGTGGCCATAGGTAGCCCCAATGATATCCAATATTCTAATTCCTCTTCTTCTTCCTCTTCTTTTTTTTGGTATATATATATTTTCTTATACAAAATGTGGGGCGGGATTCAAATTTACGCGCTCTTAGTCGGAAATACGTATCTTAACTAGTTGTATTATGTTCAGGTTGATTCGTTTTTTTTTTATTTATTCTTCTAGATGTATGTAAAATGATATGTGTAAAGTAAATAATAATTATTTTCTCACTAGTGATCCACCACTAAAATTTGACAGCTATTTATTATTTTTTTGAAGAAGAAAATTCTCGTTTTCTCTCTCTCCCATCCTTTTCACAAATATAATGGTAATTAGGAAAATAATTTCTACCGACCAATCAAGAGGTAAGAATATTATTCGTCTAAAAATAGAAGTTCATGGCCTAAGGTTTCACTTGCCTGTATCCAACCCCCAACTATATCCAACATTCTAATTCTCTTGTGCATAAAGGATATGTCTAAAATGAATAATACTTACTTTCTAACTAGTAAGTTGGAATTTTCCTATTAACCAAAACTCTATACAAATTTAAATGCTATCTATTTTGTTTAGATTAAAAAAAAACGTAAAATATGTTTTTGGTCCTGAGGTTTGAGATAGGTGTCTAATTGATCCCTCAAGTTTCAAAATGAACAGTTTTGGTCTTTGAGATTTGAAGTAGATGTCAATTTGGTCCCTGAAGTTTAAAAATGAACACTTTTGGTCCCTAAAGTTTGAGAAATAGTTCTAAATGGTCCTTGATTTTTTTACTGTTAATTAATTAATATTAAAATGACATTGCAAATTGCAATTAAATTATTTATGGTAGTTGCTGATATGGTAAATTATATTAATTAAATAATATATGTAGGTGATGGTACTTTTTCTCCCTCATCTCCTCATCTCCTCATCTCTTCGGCTCTCTTTTTCCTACCTTTTTCCGATGATTACCATGTCTTCGCCGCCGCCGTTCGCTATTCATACTGTACATAATCATTTAATTACAATTTGCAATATCATTTTAATATTAATTAATTGACAGTAAATCAAGAACCATTTAGAATTATTTCTCAAACTTTAGGGACCAAAAGTGTTCATTTAAAAACTTCAAGGACCAAGTTGACATCTACTTTAAACCTCAAGGACCAAAAGTGTTCATTTTGAAACTTCAGGGACCAATTAGACACCTATCTCAAACCTCAGGGACCAAAAGTGTTCATTTTAAAATTTCAAGAACCAATTAGACATCTATCTCAAACCTTGAGGACTAAAAGTATTCATTTTGAAACTTCAGAGACCAAGTAGACATCTACCTCAAACGTCAGGGACCAAAAATGTATTTTACCAAAAAAAAAAAATTCTCAATTTTTCTGTCTCCCTTTTGACAAATATGATGATAGTTAGTAGAAGATTTTGAATGACAGATAATCAAGAAATATTATTCCTCTAAAATGGAGGTATTTTTTGGCCTCGAGGTTCCATGTGCCAGTAGCCAACACAAATTATATCCAATATTCTAGTTTTCCGTGTTGATGTATTTATTCTTTCTAGTTTTTTTGATTTTACTGAGTGTTTATGCACACCTCGCATAATCTCATGGAACAGGAACAACCATCTAAAAATTTCCTATTTGATTTCTTCCTCCACAGGTTAAAAGCAGATAAATAATTAACAATAACAAACGAATAATGGATACGGATAGAAAGCTTAACACCACATAGATATACTGGTTCACTCCAATCTTGGGACTATGTCAAATCTTGTGAAAAAAATCATATTCTACTATAGGAATATACCATAGATCACTATCTTCCCTAACTAATGTGAAACTTTGTTTGCATACTTTACAAACTCAACGTCGTTTGATCTTATTATGTTTAGTTGGGAACAAAATATATAGGAAATTAATTTCTAAGTAGGTGATAAACCTATTTCCCTTTAAACCCTTTTAATTTACCTTGGGTCCTTTTGACCAATAAGTCAATCTTAACGGATAGGTTAAAAAATGAACAATAATTTGACAGCTATTTTTTCTTTTTAAATAAAAAAAGGTCTATCTTCTATCTATTTTTTATTCCTCGCTCCTAAATACTTGCCATAAACATTTTGAGTTAAGAGGTAAGTATTATTGGTCTAAAACCGACGTCTTTTGAGCTTTCGTATGTGTATGAAAATACACAACGCAAAGCAAAAGATGAGTGTCGTATTATGATCCCTTCTGAGTATAAAGCAAAGAGAGGGTTCCCTCCATCTCACGTTTGAAGCCATCTATTCTCTCTCTCTCTCTCTCTCTCTCTCTCTAGGTTCGAGCAAGTGCAGCAGAATCCTAAAGAAACCCAACCCAACAACAATCCTAATCTACCCTCGCCATAACTTCTCTCTCTATAATTTCTCTCTCTTCTCTTCCCATATACCTGATTTCTTCTTTCTTCTTTCTCTCTCTCATCGACCCCAAATCAAATTCCTGTCATGTAGTGATCTCTCTCAAAGCCTACCCGTGTCCTTTAAACCAAATATTTTCCCACATAGAGACAGAAAAATGACTTCTTATCCTACTCATAAAGCCACCTTTGGCTCTCTTGCAATTCTCTGGTTTATCTGGCTTCTCTTGGTGGCTGCAGCCTCTCATGCCACCGGAGTACCGCCGGTCGAGTTAGCAGCTGAATCAAGTGCAATTTTCAGAGAGACGGCGGCCGGTGGCGGCGCCGGCGGCAAGCTTGTTCATCCGCAGTGGCATCTGAACTACATGAGCAAAAGAAGAGTTCCCAATGGCCCAGATCCTATTCATAACAGGTACACTACTCCTACTTTATTTTCCCTTTTTTTCTTTTTAATATTTAGTCGGCGAATCAAAATTTAACAGCTATTTAACTTTTTAAAATCTTTTCCTCGTCGTAAGATAAATTTAATGGCGATGAGCAAAATAATGGACGCTTAGTTAAGCAAGCAAGTATAGATTTCTTTTTCTTTATAAATCAAATTACATATTTTTATTTATAAAACATTATTTTTCGTCTTGATTTTAAATGTCGATGTCGATGTAAATATTGAGGTCTCAATTTCATTAAAATATCAATGAAAATGTCCTCTATAAAAGTTAGAGAAATTTAAAAAATCGTAAAAAATATTTAAATTAACAAATAGATATTTTTCTATTTATAAATAAGTTAAAAATAATCGATATTAATATTATGAGTCTATTAGTTACATGTTGATATTTTTCACATTTTTTCGATTTTTTGTAATATAATGAAAATGTGGATGGTGTTAAGGATCCCACATTGATAAAAGAAGGGATTTTAGATTTATAATAAACATGAACTACTCCTCTCATTGTCAATTAGTTTTGGGATGGAATCCATAAATATTAATAAATGAAAATATCGACGTATGGACGATATTTAATACCATACTTTTTCGCGAGAGAAAGCCATAGATTATTACAGGAAATGGCAAAATTTTACATGTTAACTAAAATTTGAAAATTTATGAATTGAGGGAAAGTACAAAATCTTAAGCAATTGTGTCCTTTCTTTGCTCCACTCTGCGTTTGTCGTGAAATTTGTCTTCTTTCTTAATTATTTGCTTCACTCAACAAAAAGTGAGAAATAATTAAGAGAAAGCATTGAAAGATTGAGAGAGAGAGAGAGGAAGAGAGAGAAGGAGAGATAAAAAGTTCAAAATTTGCTCACTTTGCCTTTTAAAACTGTTACATTGAGTTGTATTTTAGTTTAAAGGGGTGTCAATTAAAGTCCTTGGTTGAAGGTCACACAAACATCTTTAATAACCACAGTAAATAAAAGTGTTGTGTGTGTACTTCAATATATTCCAATTCCTTTTTCTTAATCAATATCTCTTTATATCCATTGCTAATAAACAATTAGCCTTATAATCCTACTCTCATATTCCAATTATGTATTCTTAATTTTATTCATCCAAGAGAATTCGATATGAAGCTTGAAAATAAATTTGTTCTTATAACTTCGAAGTCGATGCCGTGTAGCTTACACTAGAGATTTCCTATAATCGGGGTGTTGACAGTCACCCACTATTGTAACCGACTTTGCGGGACTCGTCCTTCAATGAGGGAACTTTAGCTATGTGTCCTACGGAACTCGAATCAAGATGGATATTCCCCATTCGGCCACAAATCCACTGCACCACACCACTGCCGGTGGTCTTAATTAAAAAAAATTATTTAATTTTGTCAACGGAAACAAAGCTCAACGGATTAAAATACCTCTAGACAAGATATCCAAATCCTTACTCCTATCTATTATTTTTTTAAATCCTTATTTAATTTTGAAGACGAAAATATATATTCGGAAAATCGAAACCTAAGAAATTTATTATGCTCTTTTGGTAATTTATTTATTTTTTCTTAATTTTAGGAGAGCAGGAAACTCTGGACGACCGCCAGGCAAGGCTTAGGCGTAGGAAAGAAAAGCTTTGTGAGAATTGGCTTTTTAGATGACACAAGATGCATGCTCTGCCATCTTGTATGTATTACTTTAGGAATTAATTAATGATGAAAAAAATTTGGAACAATTCTTCGTTAGCGTTTAGGATCCGTTTGATAACATTTTTGTTTTTAAAAGTGCTGGTTTACGAATACTTTTTCCTTGTCATGAAATCTACTTTTCAGAAACGTTTTCCGAAGTTGGAGCCAAATTTTTAAAACTATAGAATAAAAATAGTTTTCAGAAAGTTGTGTTTTGTTTTAAGAAGTTTGGCTAAATTTTCAAAGATTATATATTTAAAAAAAAGTAGACAATTAAGGAAAGATAAGATATTAGTAATTTTCGTAAGCATAATTTTTAGAATTAAAAAAAAATTAAAAACTAAATTGTTATCGAACGGAGCAGTAGAAATTTAATCCTTTTCATCATTATTGTAGGTGTAGATTAGCTAATTTTCAATAATATAACCT